GGGGATGGTTAGGACTTAAGACCTTAATGGGCAAACTTCATTGTGATCATAACTTGAGAATTGCCTGTACGTGTGAGATTCTCATGTATTCTCCCACAGTTTTCTTTGTAATTTATGTTTGTTTTAATTGGTTATTTATGACCAGGGCTTTTTTTCTCGGAGAAAAGGTGGCGGAACTCAAACCTGGCCACGCCCTCATCAAACCCTAGGACCGCCCCTTTAGAGAACAGGAATGCAAGTAAAATTTGGGAGGGGCTATTTCCGGTGTGGGAGGGGCTATTTCTGGTGCGGCCGGCCCGGAAAAAGGTGCCGGAACGCGGTTCCGCCGCGTTCCGGCTGAAAAAAAGCCCTGTTTATGACTGTTCTAATTGTTGGTTTTGTTGCTCACCATCCCAGGGTCATGTGAGATACATGGCTATATAAATTTGATAAGTAAATAAATACATAAATAAACAGTAAGCTCCTCAGCTTGAGTTAGCAATCTAGAACTAAGGAGAAATTTCCTGACAGAACAATTAATCAGTGGAACAACCTGTCTCCAGAAGTTGTGAATGCTCCAGCACTTTTTAAGAAGAGACTGGACAACCATTTCTCTGAAACATATAGGGTTTCTTGCCTGAGCAGGGGGTTGGACTAGAAGACCTCCAAGGTCCCTTCCAACTCTTATTATTTATTCTATTCTGTTCTGTTCTATTCTACTCATTTAGTGACCATTCCATGTTAGCACCTACCTGAAAATGGGGACATGACCCAGATCCAAAGTTCCAAAAGTTGCACCCCTACCCCCCTACCCCTGCCAAGTGTAGTTATGACTGCGTTTTGGGAACTCAGCAACACGGCCACATTTAAACTGCTTAGAGCATCCCACAGTCACATAACTGCATTTTACAATGGCTTTACTGAAAACCAGCACATGTGGTTTTCAACAAAACCACATCATGGTGGACAATGGATTCATTGAATGCCTATGGCGTTTGCTTAAACCACAAACAAAAAAGTTATAAAATCAAGACAATCATGTAACTGACCCTTTTGGGGATGGTTAGGACTTAAGACCTTAATAGGCAAACTTCATTGTGGTCATAACTTGAGGATTGCCTGTACGTATGAGATTCTCATATATTCTCCCACAGTTTTCTTTGTAATTTATGTTTGTTTTAATTGGTTATTTAAGACTGTTCTAATTGTTGGTTTTGTTGGTCACCATCCCAGGGTCATGTGAGATAGATGGCTATATAAATTTGATAAGTAAATAAATACATAAATAAACAGTAAGCTCCTCAGCTTCAGTTAGCAATCTAGAACTAAGGAGAAATTTCCTGACAGAACAATTAATCAGTGGAACAACTTTCCTCCAGAAGTTGTGAATGCTCCAACACTTTTTAAGAAGAGACTGGACAACCATTTGTCTGAAATGATTTAAGACTGTTCTAATTGTTGGTTTTGTTGGTTTCCTGCCTGAGCAGGGGGTTGGACTAGATGACCTCCAAGGTCCCTTCCAACTTTTTTATTATTATTATTATTATTATTATTATTATTATTATTATTATTATTATTATTATTATTATTATTTACTACTACTACTACTACTACTATTATTATTATTAAGACGCTAGCTGCATTTCAATATCCTGCTAAGAATATACAGTAAGAATATCCTGCTAAGAATATACAGTATTTGCAGCGTTGACACCTACATTTTAAATAAGTAAAGGCATCCTTGGAAATGCCACTGTAGACTTGTCTGCAGGGATACAAATAGAATACTTTATTGTCCAAGTGTGATTAGACACACAAGGAATTTGTCTCCGGTGCATAAGCTCTCAGTGTACATGCAAAACAACATAATAATCCTAATAACAAAGGATAATAATGCTAATAATGCTACCAATGGAGGAGGTAGTGGAACAGATGAGAAGGATAAAAGTAATACAGTCATACTAAATGAGTAAATATACTTAGACATAAGACAGAATGTGATTTGCCATTTCCATCTTAGGTACAAGTTCTTGGTGGTCTCTTATTCAAGAAGGAACCAGATTTGAATTTTTTAAAAGTTTTTTTTTATCCCACCTTTATTACTTTTTATAAATCACTCATGGCAGTGAGCATACTTAACATTCCGTCCTCCTCCTGTTTTCCCCACAGCTGCAACCCTGTGATGTGGGTTGGGCTGACAAAAACTGACTGGCAGGCTTTCATTCCTAAGGTGGGACTAGAACTCACCGTCTCCTGGTTTCCAACCTGGTATCTTAACCACTACTAGATGGTATGGGTTCTCTGAGTTGAACTTTGCTGAAATGAGCTGATGGAGCCCCATCAAGCTTGGCTAGACACTGCCCCCTTCTGAGACAACTTAGCTAATTTTATTTACTTTCAAAGATAGTAAATTGGACTTATTTTGATTCTTTTTAACTACGTACCTTGGAAACTCACTTTTCTTATATTAATACTGTATAAAACCGTTTGCTTTCTTTCTGCTTGCGCTTCCCACCTCCCAAGAGAGTTGTCTGTTTCACTTAAGGAATGAGAGATTCATGTGAAAGCAGAATATTGTATTTTCAAAACTGGACGATTAATGATTGCATCATTACATCCTTCTCAACATCGTTACCATCACTTAAATTTATATGCAACCTGACTCTCAGGGACTCAAGGCTTCTTTCTCCCTTTCATCCTAAAGCACTTGGAAGCCGTAGTAGCGCCCAGCAGAGACACACAGGGCTCTCTGTAACCTTTCTCCTCCTTTCATGCTAGGAACTATGGCTTGCTCAGTTTGGGTTTGACATGTTGTGTGAATTCAGCCTTTGCGGTTTAAATGAAGGCATCACTTTGGGTAGAATCTCCAAAATATGAAAACTGCAGACTCCAAGGCTTCAACACTTCTAGCCATCTTCTCCCCTGCCTTCTGCATTTTTTTTTAAAAAAAATCAAACTATCTACAGTAGGCTGAGGAAATACTCTGGAAACAGGAAACCTTGCAGATGATTTTGGGAATTTGGCTGGACACCCACTTGTCTCAAATTGTATAGGACCTCCTGCTTGAGCAGGGGGTTGGACTAGAAGACCTCCAAGGTCCCTTCCAGCTCTATTCCAATTAGATTAGCCCAGTGATGGCAAACCTTTCAGAGACCAAATGCCCAAAACTGGCCCCGCCCCCACCCTGCCTGCCCACAGGGCCACTCACCGCCTCCAGGGCCCGCCGCAGATTGCCATGGCGGCCCAGCAGCGCCATGGCGGCCGTGCCCTCTGCCCGCGCCCTGCAGCATCATCTGCGTACGACGAGGCGTGAGGGCAGAGTCTTGTCCATGCTGCCTGGCTGCCATGTCCTTGGCTGCGCTGCTCCGTGTGGGCCACGCTCGGGGGTGACTCTCCTCCAGGGGGGCTGCTGGTGAGGAGGGGGTCGCGGGGGAAGGCGAGGCTGGGGCAACGGCACGTGTGCCCACAGAGAGGGCTCCGAGTGCCGCCTCTGGCACGCGTGCCATAAGTTCGCCACCACTGGATTAGCCCAATGAAAAGAAAGAGTAGAGGTGACATGATAACAGTGTCCCGATATCTCAGGGGCTGCCACAAAGAAGAGGGAGTCAAGCTATTTTCCAAAGCACCAGAAGGCAGGACAAGAAGCAACGGATGGAAGCTAATTAAAGAGAGAAGCAACCTAGAACTAAGGAGGAATTTCCTGACAGCGAGAACAATTAACCAGTGGAACAGCTGGCCCTCAGAAGCGGTGGGTGCTTCATCACTGGAGGATTTTAAGAAGAGACTGGACAGCTACTTGTCTGTAATGGTATAGGGCAGGGGTAGGCAACCTCGGCTCTTTTATGACTCATGGATTTCAACTCCCAGAATTCCTGAGTCAGCTACTCAGGAATTCTGGGAGTTGAAGTCAGTGAGTCATAAAAGAGCCGAGGTTGCCTACCCTTGGTATAGGGTCTCCTGCTCGAGCAGGGGGTTGGACTAGAACAGTGATGGCGAACCTTTTAGAGACTGAGTGCCCAAACTGCAACCCAAAACCCACTTGTGCATCGTCGGGTGCCGGGTGGGTGTGGCCCATTGGCTGGGTGTGGCCATTTGGGGGGGTGGCCATTTGGGGGGGCATGGCCAATTGGGTGGGCATGGCTGCGGTGGTAATGGCAGACTGGGCGGGACTAAAAAGTTCAATCAATCAATTCCAACTTTGCAAGATCTTTTTTTTCCCGTGAGAAGTTGAAATTGACTGATTGATTGAACCTTTTTTTGGGGGGACATGGCGGCGGAGGCCTAAAGCGAAAAGGTTTTACAAAATCATTCTAGCTGAAGGCCTAGCACTGGGCCGACAGTGTGCGTGCCCACAGAGAGGGCTCTGAGTGCCGCCTTTGGCACCCGTGCCATAGGTTCGCCACCACTGGACTAGAAGACCTCCAAGGTCCCTTCGAACCCTGATTATTCTGTATTCTGTAAGTCAGAGAAGGGGAAAAGAAGAGAAAGAGAAGAATTGATCTTACACTTCGGGTAACAACTTCCAACACGCAGAGGGCGAAAACTCTTCCCCCCCCCCGTCCCTCCCCTCCCCTCCCCGGTCACTCCACTGAGAGGAATCCACCTCATTAGCAGAGCTGCTAATCGTCTGGCGTCCAGGGTGATTATCCGAGAGGGTCATCTGACTCAATCCCATCGGATCTTCCGACTGGGTCAAACCAGAGATCTCTTCACGTCTGACTGCTGGGGCGGGCAGAGAAGGAGAAAGGGAGAACCGGGGAGCTTTCGTTGGCCGGTCTTCTGCCTCGACTAACCCGTTCGCCGGCGTCCTTTCCCACCGAGCCCGGTTAACTCCGATTCCGCTCAGCAGAATTATTGCATCCTTCGGGGGGGGAAAAAAAAAAAATATTGGAGCTTTCCAGTCTCATCCCAAGAACTTCCAACTTTCTTCGTCCCTGCCAGGGGGGGCTGCTCAACACCCCCCCCCTCTTGGCCCAAATCTAAGCCCCTCCGCCTTTTGGGGGTCCCCCACCACCATCCGGATGAATTCGGGGGGGCTGGCGACCCCTTCTCTTCCCCCCATCGCAGAAGACCCTCCTCCGAGCGGAGCCCGCCTGCCCCGCCCCTTCCTCCAGAGTCTCCGGATCCTCTTCGAGATCTTGGACGACCAAGGCCAAGGGAGCGTCCACATCTCGGAGATCGAGAGCCGCTGGGGGCGGGGCGGCTCCGGGGTGGCCCCCCGAGAGGACCGAGAGATCCCAGCCGGGGTCCTGCAGGCTCTCCAGCGAGTGGCCGAGCCCTGCGGGGGCTTTTTAAGTTTTCCCCGCCTAGTGGCCGGGTTGAGGATTGCCCTCTTCCAAACCGAAGAAGGAGCAGCAGAGGAGGCGGACTGGGGAAGCACAGGAGCTGCCCAGGTGAAGAAGGCGAGTCGGACACGTAAGTAGAACAGAACAGAATAGAGCTGGAAGGGACCTTGGAGGTCATCTAGTCGAACCCCCTGCTCAGGCAGGAAACCCTATACCACGGGTAGGCAACCTTGGCTCTTTTATGACTCGTGGACTTCAACTCCCAGAATTCCTGAGCCAGCCAAGCTGGCTCAGGAATTCTGGGAGTTGAAGTCCACGAGTCATAAAAGAGCCAAGGTTGCCTACCCCTGCCCTATACCATTTCAGACAAATGGCTGTCCAGTCTCTTCTTAAAAACTTCCAGGGTTGGAGCACCCACAATTTCTGGAGGCAAAGCTGTTCCACTGGTTAATTGTTCTAACTGTCAGGAAGTTTCTCCTTAGTTCTAGGTTGCTTCTCTCCTTGATTAGTTTCCATCCGTTGCTTCTTGTCCTGCCTTCAGGCGCTTTGGAGAATAGCTTGACTCCCTCTTCTTTGTGGCAGCCCCTGAGATATTGGAACACTCCTATCATGTCCCCCCTCGTCCTTCTCTTCGTTAAACTAGACGTATCCAATTCCAGCAACCGTTCCTCATATGTTTTAGCCTCCAGTCCGCTAATTATCTTGGTTGCTCTTCTCTGTACTCTTTCTAGAGTCTCAACATCTTTTTTACATCGTGGTGACCAAAACTGGATGCAGTATTCCAAGTGTGGCCTTACTAAGGCATTGTAAAGTGGTATGAACACTTCATGTGATCTTGATTCTATCCCTCGGTTAATGCAGCCTAGAATGGTGTTTGGAAATTGGGGTGGGGGCTGTGTTTTCTGAAAGAGGAGCAAAATGAAACAGGAGAAATGAGAACATCTTGAGATGGCCACTGACATCCAGAGATGGGGTGGCAAGAGATCAAAGGGGGACTGGACTACAGCTAGTCCTTGAACTTACAACCATTCCTTTAGTGACCGTTCAAAGTTACGATGGCACCGAAAAAAAGCGACTTATGATCATTTTTTTAACACTTATGACCATGGCAGCATCCCCATGATCAAAATTTGGATGCTTGTCAACTGATTCATACTGATATCAGTCACGGTGTCCCGGAGTCACGTGATTCCCTTTTGCGATCTTCTGACAAACAAAGGCAAAGGGGAAGCCAGATTCACTTAACAACCATATTAACTTAACAATTGCAGTGATTCTCTTAACAACTGTGGCAAGAAAGGTCATCAAATAGGGCAGGGGTAGGCAACCTTGGCTCTTTTATGACTTGTGGACCTCAACTCCCAGAATTCCTGAGCCAGCCATGCTGAGGGGAAAAGGAGAGGTTTCCAAGCTGAGCCATGCTGGCTCAGGAATTCTGGGAGTTGAAGTCCACGAGTCATAAAAGAGCCAAGGTTGCCTACCCCTGAAATAGGGCAAAACTCAGAACAACTATCTCACTTAGCATCAGAAGTTTTGGGCTCCATTGCGGTCATAAGTCAAGGACTACCTGTATATAATCTTTAAGGTTATTCTGCAATTTCAGAACTCTTTGAGTTTCAGATTAAATCCGGAAATAAGCGAGATAGGAAGTCATGACCCTGCTGGTTTCTTACGGGGGACTCTTCCTAAAATGTTCAATTTGCTGGTTCTCCCCTATTTCGCCTTTGGAGCTTTTGCAAGCCTCATTGCAAAAACTGTGCTGGGTTCTGGCCATCCATCCAGCCTGGAAACAATGGTCGAGCCCAGATTGCACAGAAGGATATCTAAGTGGCAGAGTTTAAGAGGGGAAAGCGTTCCCGTTTTCTCTGCGGGAAATTCATTTAGATTGCCTTCTGTTCCTTTCCAACTTGCTGGATCAATAGGCCTGCAGTTGAAAATTGGGACGCTGACATCTGAGATTAGGGACTGGCAGAATGGACGAGTGCCATGCCTTTAAATAACAGGAAAGTAGGCCAGAAAACGGCTAATTAAAACAAAACGCCTTGAGCTGGAAGAGTTTATTTTGTGGAGTGCCATCAGGCAAGGATAAAAAGAATAGATAGCAATTTGGACTACATCTCTATGGAGATTCTCAGTCATCCAGGTCACGGTGGTCCCAAAGGTGCTTTTTCAAAAGGCAAGTGGACTTTTCTTCGTTTGTTTCCTTGATCTGAAGAAGCTTCTTGGATAAGAAGCGAAAAGTCTTCAAGGAAAAACACAGTCCAGTTGTGTTTTTGAAAAAGCCCCTTTGGGACAATTTGGACTGCAGGAAAAATAATAATAATAATAATAATAATAATAATAATAATAATAATAATAATAATAATAATAATAATAATAATAATAATAGTAGTAGTAGTAGTAGTAGTAGTAGTAGTAGTAGTAGTAGTAGTAGTAGTAGTAGTAGTAGTGAAGTTGGAAGGAACCTTGAAGGTCATCTAATCCAACCCCCTGCTCAGGCAGGAAATCCTATACCATTTCGGACAAATGGCTGTCCAGTCTCTTCTTAAAAACTTCCAATGTTGGAGTATTCACCGCTTCTGGAGGCAGGTTGTTCCACTGGTTAATTGTTCTCACTGTCAGGAAGTTTCTCCTTAGTTCTAGGTTGCTTCTCTCCTTGATTAGTTTCCATCCGTTGCTTCTTGTCCTGCCTTCAGGTGCTTTGGAGAATAGCTTGACTCCCTCTTCTTTATGGCAGCCCCTGAGATATTGGAACACTGCTATCATGTCCCCCCTCGTCCTTCTCTTCATCCAGCAGGTGAAGTTTTTTTATGGCATGGGAAATAATATTCTACTGGGGTCCCTTGAAAATGGACCAATACAATACAGGTAGTCCTCTATTTACAACAGTGCATTTAGTGACCGTCGGCAGTTACAATGTCCCTGAAAAAAGTGACTTGTGACTGTGTTTCACACTTAACACAACTGCAGTTTCCCCGTGGTCATGTGATTAAAAGTCAGATCCTCATATTTATGACTGTTGCAGGGCCTTGGAGTCACGTGATCACCTTTTGCGACCTTCTAACAAGTAAAATCAATAGGGAAGCCAGAGCCACTTAACAACTTAACAACTGCAGCGATTCACTTAACAGCTGTGGCAAGAAGGGTCATCAAATGGGGCAGAATTCACTTAACAACTGTCTCACTTAGCAATGAAAATATTAGACTCAATTATGGCCGTAAGTTGAGGACTACCTGTAACCTAAGTCTTGAGATGAGTGGTTTGCAGTCTGGTCTAATTTTTCACATGATCCTGTGAGCAGATAGCAATAGCAATAGCACTTAATACTTATATACCGCTTCACAGTGCTTTATAGCCCTCTTTAAGCGATTTACAGAGTCAGCATGTTGCCCCCAATAATCTGGGTCCTCATTTTACCGAATTTGGAAGGATGGAAGGCTGAGTCTACCTTGAACCGGTCAGTATCAAACTCCTAGCAGTTGGCAGAATTAGTCTGCAATACCGCATTCTAACCACTGTGCCACCACGGCTCTTAATGTTGAACAAATCACAATTTTTCTACTCTACAGGGTTGTTGTAAAGACAAAACCAGGAAATAAGTAATATACGTTGCCAAGATTTCCTAGGAAGAAATGAACCCCACCCCCCACCCCCCCGCAGTACAGGTAGTCCTCAATTTACAACCAGGGTTTTTTTTCTCATAGAACGCCCAGAACGGAGTTCCGACACCTTTTTTGGATGGAACCCGCAAGGCGGGTTGTATGACATGTGTGAGTTCCGGCACCTTTTTTTTTTTTTAGAAAAAAAGCACTGTTTACAACGATCCGTTTAGTAAATATTCAAAGTTTCAATGGCACTGAAAAATGTGACTTATGACCGTTTTTCACAGTTACGACTTTTGCAGCATCCCAACTGTCATGTGATTAAAATTAGGATGCTGGTTCATATTTATGACGGTTGCAGCGTCCCGGGGTCATGTGATCCCCTTTTGCGACCTTCTGACAACCCAAGTCAATGGGGGAAGCCGGATTCACTTAACAACCGTGTTACTAACTTAACAGTTGCAGTGATTCACTTAACAACTGTGGCAAGAAAGTTGCAAAATGGGGCAAAGCTCACTTAATAAATGTCTCACGTAGCAACATAAATGTTGGGCTCAGTTGTGGTCGTAAGTTGAGGACTATGTAGAATCTGGCCTGTTTTCTGCCCTGCGTTCAATCTAGATTGATTCCGAATAAGCAGAAGAAGATACTGTATACTGTGACTGAGATGGGTTTTTCAAGGTGAAAAATAAAGTTTCTTCTTCTTCTTCTTCTTCTTCTTCTTCTTCTTCTTCTTCTTCTTCTTCTTCTTCTTCTTCTTCTTCTTCTTCTTCCTCTTCCTCTTCCTCTTCCTCTTCTTCTTCCTCTTCTCCTCCTCCTCCTCCTCCTCCTCCTCCTCCTTCTTCTTCTTCGAAAAAGATATCTTGAAATTTGAGCATTTTTATAGTGTTACCAAGTCAGACAGCATTTCTCCCTCCCTTCCTTGTAATATGAACTTTGGTTTTAGATACAAAAAAAAAAAAAAAGAGGTGATCACACGGACCGTGCAAATGTCAGAAATTCGTGCCGGCTGCCAAGCGTCCGAACTTTGATCCTGGGATCATGCGGATGCTGTAATGGTCGTAAGCGTGGAAGCTGGTCCTGACACACTTTTTTCCGTGCTGTTGTAACTTTGAACAGTCACTAAATGAACGGTTGTAGATCAACAACTTCCTATATTTAAATTCTCAGGGAAAGCAAACCTCTCTGGTCTTTTGCCAAGCGTGGGTCACAGGCACAACACTGCTGCGGTCAGTCTCCTCCCTCTGTGATCTCTGTTTGAAGCTATTTCCCTTGACTTTTTCTCCAAATTAAAAGGAATAAAGCTAGCAGATTTCATCTGCCTTTGGGTTGTCCTTGGGCAGTTTCAGGAGAGGGGGGAGGCGGGGGGGAAGAAGACTGCCATTGTGAATAGATTTGCAATACTGGCGAGTATGTATAGTTTGGGTGTAGGATGAGGGTGAAGATTCGTTCTCCGGGCTTGTGGGTTGGTTTCCGAACACTTTGTTACCAGGTTAGATAACCTCTTCAGTGGCGTTTAGGGCAGTG